GCATTCAGTATCAATCTGTGTTACTGGAGTCAGTAAATGGGGCAGGCAGAATGATAAAACTTGACAGGATTTCCTGATTGTCAGTTCTGGTCTCATGATAGCTGAGTTTCTTCCCTTTGCTGCACAGGCAATGAATTGATCATAGGTGCTGACATATAATTTATCATTGTTGGACACCTTGCTGAGTTAAACAGGACAGTTTGTCTCGGGGTGATGTTCCAGATGTGTTCTTGACACCTCTGAATTGTTGCACTCTTCTTTTGTTTATCATCTTTGAAGTTCCAAAAGATAGAAATCCACTTTTTAAAAGAATAATGAAAAATTAAACTTTGAAGAGCTTGGAGACCAGCTGGAAGAATTGGCCAGTTTGGCTCATTCATTTTAATAACAAAGACAGGCTTTGTAGAATCAAGGTCAGAAGTTCTTTTTTTGTCTCGATATTGTTTTATGCATCCAGGCTCATCTTATGTTCTCTTAGTTGAGTTTGCATTTCAGAATTTATTTGAAAATCAGTGCTCTGATGTGCAACTTAATGAAATCAAATGCTTCATATTTGGCAATGGGTATTTCAAATATTCCTTGGCTTGGAAAATGCATTAATATTGGCCACTCTTTTGGTTAGATTGATACTTACTGTAATGTATATAATAATTAATCAGCAAATAGAGAAAAGTTCCTGGCTTCCTTCTTTTATTGCATCATGAGCATTTGCTCCACATTTCACTTGGAGGAAATGTCATGCACATGAGCCAAATTGTGGCTAAATTTTGGTGGTTTTGGAGAGTACTAGGATTCCTTGGTCTTTGCTTGCTGTTACATTGGAGCTTAAGCTAAAAAATCCATGAGCAAAGACCCACTAAATTAAAAAAAGGCTGTTGTTTTATGAATAAGCCACTCTGTGCAGGTTAACTCTTATCTGTGTGTAGAGGAGAGCCTCTCAGTAATCTGCTTTTTGTGCACAAGTTCCTCTTGATTTAACAAGATGAATCAATTAGAAAGGCAGCCAGAAGTACCACTGCATGTCATATTAATTTAAACATTGTTTTCTGCAATTGAAAACTTTATATTCAGTAACTTGTTAGATTTATCCCCCTCCCCCATTCTCTCAGTCTCTGATGCACAAAATTATTAAACTTAATTGAGTTTTTCTGGACACTACTCATTTCTCAAAATTTATTGCAATTATACAATGCCCATAGCTCATTTATTTTTTGTTTCCTAGTGATTAAAACTTAAGACACTGAAAAATGTTATGTGTATTTTCCTTTTCATCACTAATCCTTTTCTGTCCTCTGTATTCAAGACACATTCTGTAGTCGTGAACCATTAAAGTAGCAAAATTCAGTTTTATAGCTAAGTATAATAAAACCAGAATGTAGGTCAGAAATCTTGAAATCTTTTTTATAAGATATTGTCATGGTATCTGTTCAGGACAATGCAGAGTATGTCAGTTTGATATAAACACCAGTCATGTAGAGTCTCTCCCAGCTGAAACAGCAGCAAAGTTATTCAAAGCAAATAAATGCAGTGGCTGAACTTCCTCTAGCACGTTGTGAATGGAGTTCAAGCGATGAGAGCTTGGCCTCTTTCCAGAAGCTGGGCTTCTGTTTCCAGTGCTGGCAGAAAAATGTTTGGGAAATAAGCTTGCATCTGAAATGTAAACATGTCCTTTAGTTCACCAGACTTTTGAAATCAGCTAAAGGGAGTTGAAACAATTAAATCCTGTGGGGTAGAAATATGGTGGTTGGAGATACTGTAGAGAGAAGGGATTTGAAGTGCTCTTCTCTTAGGAGCTGAGGCAGAGAGGGTGCTGTCTTTTCAAGGAACCCACAAAATTCACTCCATAAAATTACCAGTGGTTCTTGCTCTCAGTGTTAACAGAGGACAATAAGTTAGTATGCAAACATTAATGTCTGGGCAGGTCCATCATCTTCTTCCTCTTCTTTTCTTTGTGGTGAAAGATGGGTGAAAGCCAAGGCAAATAGCAGCCATCAATTTGTAAACTTTTTAGGGACTTTGTTTATGAGGAATTGTTATGGGCATTTTTGTCCAAATCTTGCTCACAAGACAGCCAGAGGAAACCTCCTTTGACCTGAATGGGAAACGAGTCAGACTTCTGATAGTTTTATAAGTTATATAAAATATTGCCTTTACTCTGAGATATTTCTTTGAGCGAGTGAGAAAAATAAAAAGTGTTTCATTTCTGTCATGCTTTCCAGCTGAAGTCCTCTAAGTGCTTTAGAAATAGTGTGGATTGGGCCTCACAATATCCCTTTAATTCTGGTAGTACTCATTTCAGCATTATGGATGGAGAGGTGAGAGAAGCTACTTGACATTCTCAGGCCAGAGCTCTACAAGCACCAATCTCCTCTTCTGGCACTGTTCCCACAATGCTATTTTTTATCCTTGGCTATAATGTGTCTCTACCAGCAAGCTGGATTTTTTTCCTCCAGAATGAGCTCTTGAACCAGCTGAATAAAATGTCTCAAAATCATAACTAGGCCTGAGCTGCACAGATTTCAGCACTACATGACCTTTAAGCGCTGTCAAGGAGTCTTGCAGAGAAAGTTGATCTGTTCACCTGTGAGGCCAGTTTGCAGCAAGAAATAAAACAGGTGCATTTTGGTGATTATTGGACATGCCACACTCTCCCCACATTCTAAGGAGCATCCCACTGCACATGCTTATTCAATCTGTCACCTGCCTGCAAACTCTGTTCAGATAAAAAATCCCTTCAGCTTAAAGCATGAAACTATTTTCTTTACTAGTTAAAAATGAAAATCAAGCCTCCCATAACTGATGTCTCCTTGATTTCAAACACTTTTTTTTGGTATGAATCAGCAATCATTCAAGTGTCCCATGTTTTCATTGTCCCCTTGCTCTCTGGTGGGGAATTTCCTTTTTTTAAACATGTAAGAAATAACTTTTTCTCTGAAATTGGGTTATTTGGCATTGTTAGATGATACTCTGATGACAAACACTACAATGGTCAAACTTGAATCATGATCTCACTTCGGTCATTGGAAACACAAATAATGATTGTGATGGATTAGGTAGTAAAGGAATATCTGGCTGAAAACTTGGGTTTTTAGGCTGTGAAATGATCATGTATGTGACTACCTACAGTAATGTCTAAAGCTGACTACTCACTATTTCCTAAATTTCTTGTCTTACCCAAATTTATCCCATGAACCAAAGAGGTTAATGGGCTTGAACTCCTCACCTTTCATTTGCTGACAAGCTTCTGTTACCTCAGAGTTTATCAGCACTTCTTCCTGATAGCAAAAGAGAAGTCCAGCTACGTTTTGTGTTAGAGTTAGCTGAAAAACTTCATGTGATGTTGCCCACACCTTGGACTCCACCCCCTCCGAGATGGAGTTTCCAACACTGAGGTTTCACCCAGTGTCAAAATACCAAAAGTGCCCTGTGCAGTGACATCATCTTCTCCCTGTGTCCTGCTGAGCAAACTTACCCTGAAGCAACACCTGGGATCTGCAGTGTGAGAGGAGCTGGGATCACAGGGCTGAAAACAATAACTTTACAAAAGGACCAGTTTATTAGAAGTTGAGTGACATATGAAATGCATGATTGTGGGCACTATAGCATTTAATTTCCTGAAAGGAGCTAGATTTTGATAACACATAATTGATTGCGGCTTGTAAAAGACTGTTGGAATTTACACTGGCTTTTTGTTTCCTTTGTAAAGCTGGTGGCTAACTTGTTAATCAGTCATTTCATTGTGATTTAGCCTGTGTTTTCCACAGTCATGGGGTTCTTGTAGAAAAACCTTTTGGATGCCTTTCATCAAGACATTCCACTTGTGTTTAGGTCATGGAGAAATCAATGGACTTTATGTGCCTTCTTAAACATATGGAAGAAGTGGTACTTTGGAGGGGAAGAGAAACACCATTGTCAAGTTCTGGGAAAAGTTCTGCCATCCTGGAAAATATATTTTCTGTAAACAGGATAAAACCCTCGCAACCTGGAGGTTTTGTTTTTGTTTTTAAACTGAAAATAGCGATGAAGTAATTGCTTCTGGTTAACTGAATGTTTTGTTTCCTTTTCAAGGTTTTATTGTTAAGTCTTGAGTTATTGTTGGTTTTGTTTTTGCCGTAATTAACAATTTTCTAAATACATTTCATATCAAAAGAAAGAAAGGAATGCAAACTTCCAAATATGTCAGAGTTACAATATTAGAACTGTCATGTTCCGAGCCTCTGAGCTCAAGTTTCTTCAGCTGGAAATGGGCACATCTGTAAAGAGGCAAACACTGAAGCCACATTAAAAGGGTTAAGCAGAAGGGAAAGAGAAGGAAATTTTAACTTGGCTCATGCCTATGTAGAAGCAAGATGCTGAAGTCCTCCAGCACAAACCTTTAAACTCATACCATCAAATTGATTTCCATGCAAGGGGAGCTGCCTTTTGCAGGGAGGGGATGAGCACATGCTTCATAGCACAAGAAAGTGGGAAGATAATTGGCAAATTTAATTCTCCTCTGAACCTGATCCTGCTGTGACACAGTGGGGGTGCCCTGTCCCTTGCTCTCCTGCTGAACAATGGGAACTCACTCAGATTGTGGGAGCAAAATGTCCAGAGCAGTGGATGGTGTAATTATGTGTGCAAACCTGTCTGGTTTGACCCAAAACCAGCTAAAACTCAGAGCCTCTCACCCACTCCCTCTGCCCCAGTGCGATGGGGGAGAGAACTATGGAAAAAAAAATTCATGGTTTGGGTTACAGATTAATAGGACCAAACCAAGAAGGAAAATAATGATAGAAATGATGCAATAATTAGAACATACAGAACAAGTGATGCCTGACCCAGCTGCTGGCTGATCCCTGGCCAGCTTTCCCCTGGCTGGGTTCTGGGTGGCATCCAAGGGGTCCCCTCCACCCCAAACCATCCTATGGTTCCATGAGTCTGTGCTGAGGCCACCAGCACGTGGAACCAGCCCCTCTGTGACATCAGCCCAGCTGCTCTGGTGGCTGCCCTGGGGGTGACAGACCCTCCCAGCAGTGACAAGTGCCACTGGCAGCCGTGACCCTGCTGTGCCTCTCCCCGTGGGACACCTGTGGGTGAGTGGGAGCTCTGGGGGCTCCTCACTGGTGGGGTGGGGTGAGGAGCAAAGCCCTTAAGTGCTGCTCAGAACAACTGGAACATTGGTGTTCTGTTCAAATTTTTCTCAACCTAAATTCAAAACACAGCACTATGGCTGCTACTGGGAAGAAAAGTCACTCTATCCCAGCTGAAACTAGGACAAAATGTCAGGCAAAATTTAAAAAAAGAAAAGGATTCAGTGCTGTGCACCTACAGTTTGCAGTGAAAATTTTCCATGAAAAATATAAGTCATGGCCTGTGGTTCCTCTGTTTTGCTGCCACTGGTGAGGCAATGGGGTAAGGCTGAGAGATGGGTTAATATTTGTTTTCCTTCTGTTAAAATGAGATTTATCCTTAAGAAAAGACTCAAATACTAGATTAAAAGAGCATCCTGAAAATGAATGAAAGTGAAGCAACTTGTGAGACAATATTCAGCTTGCTCTCACTGGTGTTGTCACTACAGTTAATTCAATCCCTGGGGAAGTTTTATCCTTGTAGCAGTGTGTTTTAACAACAGATTGCCCTGGGTTAGTAATGAAAATGTTTCCCAGTACTACTGTGTTTGGGGAAAGCTGTTTCAACAGTGCTACAGAAAATCCCCAGCAACTCTCCATGGTCTCCCGTGGCTGAGGTACACAGGTGTTGTACATGCAGTGTTAGTCTAAGTTTGGTCTTTGGTGTGTCCTTAAGGAAATGAGAAATGAGATTACAGCCACACTCAGTGTGGGTGTGAGAGCCTAACACCTTGCCCCATAGGTTGTGAACCTAAGGTTTGATTTAAGCCATATTTGATGGAAAGTGAACATGTCCAAAGTATGTAAGTTCATCCATCATTCTCCAGGAGAGTAGATGCTGATGGGAGGGCAAGACCTTAGAAATACCCTTTGCATGCTCCCCAGCCATATGAAATGGTTTACGTGCAGGTTGTTAAACATGCTGAAAATCCCCACAGAAAAAGGTGACCTACATCACCTCCAGCCACATATATCTTTGCATGTCATCTACTAAAAAAAAAAAAAAAAAGTGTAACAGTGATTTAAATATTTTATTCCATAGATCTGGATGAAAAATAGTGAGAATGTTATCCAAAAACGTCAAAACAATTTATCTGGTCTTTTGTCTTTGAAATTCATAACGGTAATAGGATATTGCAAACCAGCCAGTTACCATTGTTTAAGTGATTAATTGAACTTTCTTGGCCAGGTAAAATCAAATACATTTTCCTTTATGAATCCATTTTTTTGATTCTCCAGATTCTTTGCTTGAAGATGATCTCATGCCATTGTGTGAATAAGTTAACCATATCATTTATCTAGGGCTGATCCCTGCCTCACCCTTTTCTCTGACTTTTGGTTTCTCCGGGTATTTTATTTCTGGATCAGGTAATAAGATAGTGATCTGATTAGGAGGTGATGAGAAAGTAAAATACTTTGATATACAATACATTCAAAAAAACATGACTGAAAGTATAGAAGTGAGCTCTTCTCGACATTGACATATAAAGGGAAAAATACAGAAATTCTTTTAAATCCTTCCAAATCTTGTTAGCTAACAGAGGTCAGATTAGTCACTTTAGATGTAGGGTTTTACCCATTTGACTTTTTTTCCCCAATGCACTTTGAAGTTTTTAAAAGGCCTCTTAGAAGTGAAAGCAGTTGATTCACTGCTCTTCTTAAGTGTATTGGTATTTCTGAAGGAATTTTTTGTACAAATTACAATACCTTTAAAATCTAACTCTAAATATCTTTTAGAAAGCTACAGAATGTGCAATTCATTTTTGTGCCTTCATAAAAATGACGCTGAAGTGACAAGCAGGGTCACTCTTCCATGTGTGCAGGCTTCCCTAAACCTGCTGGCGTCAGAAAGGTGCTGGTAAATAGCTCTGTCTTTACAGCTTTAAATAATTTAATTCCTTGGGCTAGCAAATAACCTCCTTAAAACTTGGCAGTGCTTGAACCTTTTAGCAAACCTGATATGAAAAGGACACTATCTAAATAGCTGAATCTGAGCTTAACTGCTCATGGCTTGATGGGCAGTTCTGGTTAAAAAAATATGTCAAGCCAAAATATTTTCTCTGTTGTCAAGTGCTTGAATTTTTTGGATGTGCAATGCCACTGCCAAGAAATAAAGCACAAAAATAACCCTGAATCTTTGGGAAATGCTTAGAAAAACAAATCCCTTCTCACACTAACAAATGTATTGCAGCCAAATCCTTGAGAGAGCAAACAGACCCCACTGAACAAATCGAGGCACTGGGAAACCAGTGCTTGTCCATGTGACATGAAGAGGTGTTTGAAGGAATATGAGAAAGTGTTTGAAGGAACACAGTAGTGCCATGAAACAGGCCAATGCCCCAAGTCACTGAGAGCCTGCTTAGAATACTTTAGTAAACAAGTAGGCAGTGAATCTTCTAAGAAGTGAGATGCTCCTACTTAGCTTTGCAGGAATAGTACATTTTCCTGTGATTAATTATTTAAAGGAAGCTGTATAATGGGTCTTTGGAATTGTGTGACCCACTAATCAATCCATGCACTTTTGCATAATGCATGTGGCATCAATGTTATTCCATTTCATGATCACTCAGGGGGAGCTTTGCCAATCTGCTCATTGCTCCTTTGCAGTGCAGGTACCAACACAGAGCCTGCAATGCCATTTGCCTGCTGTGCTTGTTTAGAGCCAGCTGCAAGTGTTCCGAACAATAAGCATTTAAGAAGAAGAAAGAAGTCTGTAAATTCCTACAGCTGAGTGCTACCACTCAAGGTGCCTCACCTGGGGGAGGTCCCTTCCCAGTGCCAGGGGACATCCTTAGTGTGAAATCCTAAATGTGAGGCAGTGCTTGTGAGCCTTGCTCTGCAGGGTGCCCCTGCTGTCCAGCTGGGGTTTGCCTCCCAAAATCTCTTCTTCATTGTATGTCTGGAAAGCAGCCCTTTGGACACCTGAGCTGGACCTACTGGACGAACTCTTGCTTTTCAAATCCCATGAAAGATCCCATCTTAAGGAAGGTGCTGCCCATACTTACTACCCATAACAACCTAGCAGAGCTCAAACCCTCTTCTTTCACCCTTAGGGAAGCACCTTATTGTACCTCCAGAAGGAGGAGGAAGCTTAGCTTTGAAGATGTGCACAGGATCTTGGACATGATGTTGCTTTCCATAAACTCCAGGAAATTGTGCAGGGACTGAGAGGAGGATATAGAAAACATTAATTACAGTAATATCTTGATTAGATGCCTTTTAGTTCTTTAGCCTATTTCTGTTTCTCTTATCTTGTTTTTATTGTATGTAAAAGAAGGAGAAGGTTGCTTCAGTCCATGACAGTCCTGCCAGAGATAAAGGGCTGTAAATGTCCACTTCTAAGAGTATATGATTATTAAACACCATGTGACCTAAAAAAGAGGGAGGCAAAAAGCTGTTTGCCCTATGGCTTCTCTGGAACTGCCTTCATGAGCCCCAGCATTTTCCACTGAAAATTAAAGAAAATTGTTCTCTCCAGTTAGAGCAATTTATAATTGGCTAATAAGATGTACTATATTTTAGCCAGACCTACGTTCCATAGAAGTGTGTCTAGGCTTATTCAATTAATCCATATAATAGGATCCTTTACCTACCATTGCTGATTCCTAAGTCTGGGCTGGATAAATAGATTGAGACAGCCTGCCCTGTGCTGTTTCTTGAATACAAGAATTGCAAGAAGGTTTGTCATGCCAAGATGCCTTTGCTGTGTCATGGGTAGTCACACATTTGTTGGTCCTTTTCACAGCTGTAGTCACAATGATTGTTAATGAGCTGCATCTCTTAAGAGTTTGAAGTTTTTAAAGTATACTTTAATTTAAGATTATCTGTGCTGGGTAGGTTTTTAGGTAAAATCTTGGTCCTCACTGAAGAAGTGGAGTTTTTTCATCGACTTCGTGAGTACTATGACTTTACCCATTATTTCTACTGGTAATGATAGGTAAGTGAACGTGGGCTTTTTCACAAAAGATGCCCTGCAGTGCTTCTGAAATGCACAACACACAGAGAAATATATTGTAGATTTAATGATTTATTCAATGAATGTAAAATCTGGTTGCATAAAGGAGATTGAAGTGATTATTACCATCTGTCACTAGGTTTCACTGTGCTGCAATAAAAGTGTGTTTCAGATTATCAGCAGTTGAGTCATATAAAAACCCAAAACGAACAGTTTCTTGTGATGGCATTCCCCAGCTCTGCCCTTAGAATTGCCTCTCCAGATGGTGGGTATGTAAGGAGAGAAATGCACAAAACATGGATGAAACTCAGCTAAAAGCTTCCAGAGTGCAAACTGCAGAACTATTCAGGGTGAAAGTGTTGACCTGGATTTCAGACAATGGGTACATTCCATATCTAACTTCTGCAGTTCCTAATCCTCTTCCATCCTGTAAAAATATAGGGACACCTTTCCCTATGTACACCTTTTTTCTTTTGATTTTGTTGCATGACTTATCATTTTAACTTTTTTTGTTTGTTTGTTTGTTTTTTCCCTACTTCCGTGGCTTGCTGAATCTTTTGTTATGTAAATTCAGTTATCGGTAGGAGCTGCTCTGCCAGCCCCCCCCTTAAGACCTTATATCCTCCTGGTTACCATGAAAATGTAAAACACAGAGAGTACAGGGAAAGAGAACAAGACCACTGGCAGGAACAAGATGCATTCCATCTTCTAATCCCTTGCACTCCTAATCTAGCTGGGTTTTTTTCTCTTCCTTCTGTTGTACCCTGTAGTGATAACACAAGTTCAACTGTCTTGATCTATAGGTAGAGCATGGGCTGTTTTTTTTTTTTTTATGAACTGGTACTTTCTTTCATATCTACTTTCTTCCTCTGATTTGGAGTTTTGAAATTATAACAATACAGAAGAGGAAATAGTTAATAATTTTGTGTTTTCTATTTCAGATCAAAATTAGCAATACAGAAGGTTAGCATTTTGCTATAAGCAAGGGATGAGGACATCAATCATTTGT